CTTTTGCAGGCTCACAGTGGGAAAGGAATACTAGAGGAACAGGCTACTCACTTTCTAAGGCACGAAACAGTATAGAGCTGCAATGTGACTGCTCAATTACATGAGATTTATTTCTGTTTTAGATAAGGAAATGATCTGCAAACCTCCAAGAATCCCAGGCATTAAAGCATTTGCTAGGGGTGCAGTCAGTTAGTGAAAACGATGCTAACTAGACAGTACAAAAATGCCGCAATGTGAGAATTTTCACAATTCCTCATTACATACTTTAAGTGAGAATAGCAGGTATCATGCCATAAAAATATGCACCGTAGTCATACAATTTAGTTGTAATTAATAGAGGAAGATTTTGCTTATTCTGTCTCAAAATACAAGTATATCTGATTCTGTTTATTCTATTCAATTTATTCTATTATTTGAAGCATCCATTCAAAACATATTAGGGAGTATCTGGCTTGCTAATCCCTGTAAGAAAAATGATTTTCATGTGACAGGGCAAAGTTCTCAGAAAGTGAAGAAGATGTAAGAATTAGTTCCACAACATTAATAGTGCTGTAAGTTTCTGCTCAAGGGGCCATCTAATTGGAGTCTCTAGCACTGGCCTGCCTATGTTCCTCATCTGTAGCAGAAAAAATAAAAACCCAGAGATAGATATTGGGGTTAAACCTGAATATCAGAAAAGCAAAGCAACCAGCCACTGGCTCTAACAAAGATATACTTTACGTAGATAGGCCATCTACAAACACTTCATAGACCTACAGAATATAGCATTTAAGATGTTTTAATAACATAGGCTCTTTTCTATGACGAGACAGGCATGTGTGCTCCTAGCAGCAACAATCTATTTCAGAGAAGATTATTGGCATTGAAGAAACACCACATGGAGTGTACTTTCTTTGTGGCTAATGTAAATCACTGGGCAAGAAAATGCCCCTGGCCTCGATTGCTGACAGTCCACTGTCCCAATTGGACAAACAGGACACAAAAGAAAGTGACTCTCAAATATTGTCAAGCCAAGGAGGGACATCCCTTCAAATTATCTTGCATCACAGAAAAGTCTGATGGATATGCTAAGCCTTTAGGCCAAAGATGGGTGTCTCACTATTGCAGAGGAAGTTTGGATGACTGTCCAGGTAGTAAGCTGTTTCTGTTATTTCTCACAATTTTTGGAAGTCTCTGGCTTGCACTTCCTGTTTACTCATTCATATTATTTCCTTCTTGGGTCTCTGAGGGATTTGAAATAAGTGTTGCTGGTTTTCTTAGGTGGTGAAGTCACTGGTAGCTCGTCCACACTACATTAAACAACCTCTTAACCATGTTTATTAACAACTGAACTCAGTGAAAACAAAAAAATAAATTTAGGAGATGCAGAAGTAGAAGGAAGGACTTGTAATGAATAAGCTAGGGTTCCACAGGAGATAGAACCAGGAGAAAGGCTGTAATAAAGGTCAAAACCAGCCAAAATACACCGCAGGCATGTAGAAAACTAGCAAAGAACAAACAAATTTTAAATTGCAAAACCCAGGCATGGTGGCATATACATATAATCCCACTTATAAAGCTGAGGCAAAGACACTAACATGTATGTGAGGCCCGTCTGGGCTGCATATCAAAAGTGTCTGAAAAAGAAAAAATGAAAGGAAAGGAAAAAAGCTAGGTCTGATGGTGCAAGCTGTATCACCAGCCAGTGCAGAGGTTGGGGCAACAGGATCACACGTTCCAGGGAAGGCTGGAAATACAGTGTGAGACTACTGCTAATTGTCAAATTTTAACAACAAAGTAGTGACTATTTAAGCCATGTCTCATAACTTACATGACTCTAGCTATTAAAGGAGCATGTACTGTCATTGGTAAGAATTCTGGTAGAAATTCTACATGAATTAAGAATAGAAACAGAAGCAGTCTTTATTCTAATTACAACTGAACATACTTTAGTATTTGAGTTCCTAAATCTGCTGGGAAACTAGAAAGATTGTATGTGTGTGTGTGTCCGTGTGTCTGTCTGTGTGTGTGTGTTGTGTGTGTGTCTTATTTAGGGTTTCTATTGCTGCTTACTGGCTTGCTTCCTGTGGCTTGCTCAGTCTGTTTTCATATAAAACCCAGGACTACCAGCCCAGAGGTGGGCCCACCCGCCATTGATCACTAATTGAGAAAATGCCTTATAATTGGATCTCATGGAGACATTTCCTCATCTGAGGCTCCTTCCTCTCTGATGACTCTAGCTTGTGTCAAGCTGACAGACAAAACCAGCCAGTTACAGCTGACCTTGGTCAACTTGATACACAAATATATCACAATTAACCCACAACCCTTCCTTTCTTATTCATCCCCAAGATCTCACATTTAAAACATAAATAACTTTAAAAGTCCCACAGTCTTTACAGGTTCACATTAAAATTTCAGTCCCTTTAAAATAGTCAATCTCTTAAAATCCAAAATTTTTTAACATTCAAAGTCTCTCTACTATGAGCTCCAGTGAATATTTTCTTGCTTTGAGAGGGTAAAATTAGGACACAGTTACAATCAAATCAAAGCAAAAATAAATTCCAACCATCCAATGACTGGGATCCACTCACCATCTGCTAAACTCCTCCAAAATGCTTGGGTCACTCTCCACCTCCACCCTCTGCAGCACACACAGCTTGTCTTCTAGGCTGGGCTGTCTCCACTCCACCACTGCTGCGGTTCTTGGTAGTCACACTGGTACCAATGTGTCTTAGTTAGGGTTTCTATTGTTATAATCAAGCACCATGGCCATAATGCAAACTGTGGAGGGAAGGGTTTATCTGGGCTACAATTCCATGTTTCTATTCACCAGTAAAGGAAGTTAGGACGTGAACTCAAACATGACAGGATCCTAGGAATAGGCACTGACACAGAAGCCATGGATGAGAGCTGCTTATTGGCTTGCTTCCCATGACTTGCTTGCTCCGTCTGTTTTCTTATAAAACCCAGGGCCACTAGTCCAGAGGTGGCCTTACCCACCTCTGTGCTGGGCCCTTCCCCATTGATCACTAATTGAGAAAATGCCTTACATTTGGATCTGAGGGAGGTATTTCCCCAACTGAGGATCCTTCTTCTGATGACTCTAACGTGCATTTGCTAGTTTCCCAACAGACTTAGGAACTCAAATACTGAAGTGCGTTCAACTGTAATTAGAATATAGCCAGCTCTTGCTTCCACTCTTAATTTATGTGGAATTTATACCACAATTCTTACCAATGACAGTACATACTCCCTCGAAATCTAGAGCCATGTGAGTTATGAAACATAACTTAAATAGTCGCTATTTTGGTGTTAAATTTTGATACACACAGTACAGTATGTGTATATATATAAATATATATATTACAGTCAGTAACATGTAAACAGTGCTAACAAAATGTGATTCCCTTGCATTAAAAGATAATCCCAAATTTTGCTTTATTGAAAGATAATATACTTTTTAATGTACCAAAAAATAAGCAGAAACTTGAGCAGCTGATTCCCAAAAGAGGATGGAGAGCAGCTAACAAGCAGGTGCTCAGAAATCACTAGTCCCCATAAAATAAACCACACCACAGCACCTCCACCCCTGCACAAGAATGTATAAGATGAAAAGAATGGAGAAATAGCATATGCTGACAATGTAAGAAATATTACATATGACATCTTTCTATTAAATACTTTATAATGTGTGTTTAGGACAAGGAATTAAGATCTTTTTATCTCCCCTACCACTATCCTGTAAGCCTTTGATACAATGTTTTCATTCTCCGTACCCAGTAAAGCCTTTGTTTATACAGATGTCCATTGCTTTATTCTAGAAATTTTATGGCTTGGAACAGTCACTCCATCCCTGGTCTTCCCTCATTCTTTGTGCACCAGTTTTTGTAGTCTTTTGTTTTGTTTTCAGATTAGACAGCTGAGTAAGATTGTAAAGACCCCAGCCAACCAGGAAAGACACAGTCACCACTGGAGTTAAAATAAAAACCCAATGCATTTCCTGTCTGTGTGTCGAGTCTTCTGAGCACACATTCTTGATCGAGAGTTTTGCCTTAATGATCGAGAGTTTTACCTTGTTCAGACACTTCATTTGGAGTGGTGGTGTCTTTGTTTGCAACATGAAACATATTTTTAACAGGAAAATAGAGCAACCACTCTGCAAATTTGCTTAGCAATATGTATAACGTTTGGAAATCATTATATTCTCTAATCCAGGTGAGTATGTGCCTAAATATTCAACAACAGTTAGCCATGCTCTCTATACTATCACATACTGGAAATAACACAAATAGCCAGGAACAGCAGAACTTCCCAATGAATTGCAGTAAACTTAGACAATGGAATAGGAAACAAACAAGAATATAGAGGCCTCAGCTGTGTACAATATTGCCAAAACCCACATATAGCGAGTGAAAAAAAAATACACAAAACAAATAAAATGCATGCTGTATGATTTTATTATATGAAACCTACTAGACAGTAGTCCGTGGGGCAAGGGGCAGAAAGGGCAGGCCGCCTGGGATGGATGGCACAGATGTTTGTTCGAGTTACGCAGGGCTATTCAGATGCAGACAAACTAAAAGGTTAAAATTGGGTCCAAATAGATGGCTGAGTACAGGGAGTATTGGCATTTGCTGACATAGTCAGGGCTTGAGTTAAATTCCTGGGATCCACTTGTTGGAAAATGAGACTCCTACAAGTTGTCCGCTGACATCTACATGCACCACGGTACACACACACACACACACACACACACACACACACCTATACACACATTACATACAGACAGAGAATAAGCAAATTTAAAAGAAAAAGAAAAGTTAAAATTGAAACAAAGACAAAACACAGGAAGCAGCGAGCCACACACTTCTCAAACAGAACAGCGCTCAGACCTTCTCTAGCTCCGCCCTCTCCCCCCGTGTGCGCAGGTGCCGGCTTGACAACTGGAAATCCCATTGTCCGGGACTTCCGGAAACTCCTTCAGTCCCACCCCTTCCGCCCATCGCTCTTCCCGCCTTCCTGCCCCGTGCAGCTTGGCCAGCTGAAGTCCATTCCCGAGGCAACGCCCGCCAGGATGAACATCCGCAATGCCCGGCCCGACGACCTGATGAACATGCAGCACTGCAACCTGCTGTGCCTGCCCGAGAACTACCAGATGAAGTACTACTTCTACCACGGCCTGTCGTGGCCCCAGCTCTCCTACATCGCCGAGGACGAGGACGGCAAGATCGTGGGCTACGTCCTGGCCAAGATGGAGGAGGACCCCGACGATGTCCCGCACGGGCACATCACCTCCCTGGCCGTGAAGCGCTCGCACCGGCGCCTCGGCCTGGCCCAGAAGCTTATGGACCAGGCCTCGCGGGCGATGATCGAGAACTTCAGCGCCAAGTACGTGTCCCTGCACGTCCGGAAGAGCAACAGGGCGGCCCTGCACCTCTATTCGAACACCCTCAACTTCCAGGTTAGTGAGGTGGAACCCAAGTACTACGCCGATGGGGAAGATGCTTATGCCATGAAGCGGGATCTCTCAGAGATGGCGGAAGAGCTGAGACGGCAGCTGGTGCTGAAGAAGGGCAGATACGTGGTTCTGGGCTCCGGAGAGAACCAGGAGGCCCAGGACAGCACACTTCCTGGTGCCGAAGAGAACCCTGCCGGTGAAGACAGTGGCAGCGACAGCACTGAAGACCAGGACAGCTCAGAGGACCGGGATTCCACCTCCTAGAGCCTTGCCCAAGGTATTCTCTTCCCTGGCCAGGCCCCTCTGTACCCCTTTGCGTCATATCTTGTCCTACCCAATCCCGTCCTGTCCACTCCTGTTGTGCTTTTGCTAGGTTTCTTGGTGACCACAGACTGGTACCTCTGACAGCCAAGATTCAGGGCTCACTGTTAGAGACCATGCACAAAAATTCACACGCTGAAAAATCAAAATAAGAGGCATTCCTCGTGCACTTTGGCATGAGTCGGATTCCTGGGTAACCTTGTACTTCGTGTAAGGAATTGTATCTTCTGAGAATTCCAGTTAATAAATTGGAATGATGGAATTCTAAAACCACCCTTTTACAGCTCTTTATAAAGTTATGACTCTGGAGCCGATGGGCATTGATAGTTAATAGGGGAAACTTGGAGGCCCTTTGTAATAATGATAGGAAAGACCTAGACCACACAGTGAAGGTATCCACGGTGTCACCTATGCCGTCCGTATTCTGGCTCAAAGAAATGAGATCTCTTTTGTAGATCCCACATGTGTGTTCTATAAAAGGGACATGTTGAAGGTCCACAGTACAGTCAGCAAAATCCAGAATGAAAATGTGGTGTTTGACAGAAGAATGTCTTGACTTCTTCAGCAACTCAGTGGCATTTTAAAGGAGGAGGGCAGCTGGGACTGTAGCTCATTGGTACTGCTTCCGCTTAGCATGCAGGAAGTCCCAGATCCAGTGCCACCACCACCACCAACAAAAAGCAACAACAAAAGAATTTTCTGTTAAACTAAAAATAATAGCAACCACACAACCACTAGGAGGACTTTAGACACCCAGGCAAAATTCCAACATAGTTTCTGTTGCATTAAGTGTGCTAAATGTGAAATAATTATCATACAAAAATATTTTTAGTCAAATTAACTAATGCAATGCCTAGAATTGTTTTTAAAAATACACCAGCAAAAATAAAGAGACCAAAAAAAAAAAAAAAAAGGACCAGTTCTAATGGAGAATTCAAATAGGAATAGCCGACAAAGGGCAGGAGTGGGCTGGAGTGGGGAGGAGTGTCTGCCTCGCCTGGGAGTGGTCCCTGGGTTTGAGCGTAAGGACTGCGGGATAAAAAGACTAGGAATAAAATAAGAATGGCAGCATGTAATGATTGTTGAAGGTGAGAAATATGTGCTTGTGGGTTCCTTATGCTGCTTTTTCACTCTTGGATTTGTGAAAATTCACACAAAAATTTAGAGCAAAGTATTATACTTGCTAAAACATTCTAAGAAGCCGCTACAGCCACACAGAGTGGCACGTGTCTGTAATTCCACTTTGGGGGAGGTAGGAAGATCTTGAGTTTGGGTTTGAGGCCATCCTGGGCTAGTGAGATATTATTATTATTATTACTAATACTGTTATTATTTTTTAAGAAAAAAAAAAAGAGCCAAGCTGGTTCAGGGGTTAAAGGTACTTGCAGCCAAGTCTGGTGAATTCAACTTCAATTTCAATCCCTGGGACCCACATGATAGAGGAGAATAAACTCCCAAAAGGTGTCCTCTGACCTCTGCACATGTGCCCATAAACACACACACATACACACACACAAATATAATTTAAAGAAACATACCAACAAGCACCTTTTAAATTTTAGGAACAGGCTCAGTTATAATAATAGAATATGGGAGCATTTCTTCCAGAAAGAATTATGTCATATAATTCAAGGGTCCAGGCACTAAGGACGGTTTTAAACTTTCAGTGGGATCCATCTGGTCGGGGATCAAGGCAGGAGAAGAATGTCAAGGGGGGGGGGATAAAATGGAAAACAGGTGCTCTCAGAGATAGGTCATCACGTTTCTGCCTGTCTCAAACCCTTTTTCTGCACAGTGAAGCCGGCATTCCCTTGTCTAATATACAAGGTCCTGGTTCCACACACAGTACTGCGATTTAAAATAAGGAGAAGAAAGAAAACATCAAAAGAAAGAGTTTTTTTATCCCTGAAAGTTTTATTTAAACAAATTATTTTTTTTAACTACTTCTTTTGAAAATCTCTATGGAAGGGTGTAGGCAATATGGATTCCATCTCTGTGGTAATTTGCTGCTCTTCGGTCTTGAGAACAGAGCTAATAAGAGCGTTTGGGTTTTTGATCCTACTGCACGTACTGGCTTTGTGGGAGCCTAGGCAGTTTGGATGCTCACCTTACTAGACCTGGATGGAGGTGGGAGGTCCTTGGACTTCCCACAGGACAGGGAACCCTGATTGCTCTTTGGGCTGATGAGGGAGGGGGACTTGATTGGGGGGGGGGAGGGAAATGGGAGGCGGTGGCGGGGAAGAGACAGAAATCTTAAATAAATAAATAAATAAATAAGAAAATAAAAACTACATATGAAGTGTAGTAAATTCAAAAGCCCTTAGGACCCGAGAAATCAAGTAAATAAAAACATCTGCTCATCTATTAGATGAAGAGAAAAATACCCAATAAGATTCCTTCTGGCATGGCACTCAGGACTCCCATTGTACAAATACAATTACAATGGAACTGTCTCCTTGTGGGGCATAGTTGAGCCTTAGGTTCCTGTATTCAACTTCATCTCCCTTCCAGGCTGATATCTCCTGAGATGCTCGTTCCCTCCCTCCCTCCCTCTCTCCCTCCCTCCCTCCCTCCCTCCCTCCCTCCCTCCCACCCTTTTCTTGTGGCATGGTCTGCCCTGGGTGCCCTTGAATTTGATGAGATTTACCTGCATAGCCCCATCTAATGTTTGCTCCTCAGTCTTTATTTTTGGGTCAGAGCCAACCAGAGGCCACTGTGGATCTTGTTGGTGTCACTTCAGTAGTTAGGATGCAGTGCTCTGCATAAAGTAACTGAACTGTTGAATAAAAGTGCAGCTGACTTAGTGGCTTACGAATTAAGCTCCTTCCCTCAGAGTAGTGTGGGTCTGCAGGGTGATAAGGACTAGGTGGACAGGAGCAAGGCTCTGCTCCGGATCAAGCGCTCTGGGATCCACCAAGAACGTCTCTACAGCCCCTTGGTGACCTGGTAAAGAAAGCTCAAAGATCTCTTAGGGAAGGAAAAACATTTCCTGAAGGCATCACTATCATGTGGATTATAAGGAAAAAATTATTGAAATAGGATTGTCAAGGTTTTAAATGTCTCTAACAATAATGTGATTGCTTTAGTAGCATAAGAAATAAGTCTAGCAGTATGTGTGTTGATTAATTATCTTTAAGTATGTCTGATAATAGTGTAAGTGACATTTGAGATGGCTGCAATAGCTATAATATATACACTGTGATTTTATTGTGGCAAAGCCCCGAGTAGAGCCAGTATTCCTACTGCATATGTTCACAATAGAAACAAATACAAATTTCTTTATCTTGCTTATTTGGTCCTATTTGCTAAAATAACATCTTCTGCCAGTTCATGCCCATTTGGGTAGTGGGGAAAGGAAGAGGGTAAATCCACACAGAGCTTCATTGAGCTTAAAGACTCAGCCCCAGTTCTCTGGTTAATGGCAAGGGAGGTAAAGAAATGTGGTTTAGCTTTGCCCCAAGGGGGGAAAGGCAGAATGCTAGCAAACAGCAGAGTCTCTTCCACAGATAGAAGCATCCTAGTCATGCTTTGGATGTGGGAAGCTGCTTCATGTCCAGCCAGGAGCTGGGGATCCTTGTCACTCCCCTTCAAGACACGCCACAGGGGTTTCTGGGAATCCACCTAGGATTTTTATGTAACTATCTAGCATAGTTATTCTACTTTGGTACAAACTTGGGCAGGTTACCAATGGTTTCCACCACCTTCTGCCATTTTGTCTCTTTCAATTCTGAAAGAAATGGTCCCTCCACTCTGATACCCCCCAAGCTGTCAGAAGTTTACTGCCCCTTTCAGCAGTCACCAGCTCAGTGTTACTTGCTTAAAGGGGAAAGGCAATGGTGACGCGACAAAGATGATGGGCCAAAGGATGTGCCGTGAAAGTGTTCCACACCGTTGGACCGGGATGCCCTCCTATGGAGCTAGAGTTCAGGCGCATCCAGAAAGTGCCATAGAGTGAGTTTTTATTTTTTCTTATTTCCCTCCTCAGGCAAATAGGACAGTTAGGTATCTTCATCCTAAAAATAATAATGAACATGACTGCTTTTCCTGTAGCAGCTGTCCTCAGGACTGTCCGCGAGTGTCTCCTTTAGTCATGCTGTCCCTGACAGGTCAGCAGGACGAATATTCCATTTTGCTACAGGTCAGGCCATCTCATCGCAGAGAGCAGTGCATCCTGCAGTTCGCTAGGGAGAACTGGGGTGGAGGGACTGACTCAGCTACCCAGGTTCCCCACATGTGAAGATTACATAAGACGGTTCTAGTGCTGCTAGGTACCACTCCCACTGACGATCCAGCTAATAGAGGCTAATAGTAACCCTTCTGTTCCCTCCGTTCCAGTAATCAAATGGTGAGCGGTGAGTCTGAGCAGCAACAGTTTGCAGTCTTGGAAAGGAGGCAGTTGAGGACTAAAATAGCTTTCAGTGACAAGCTCAACGTCAACGCACTCAGCTGAATCCAGGCTCAGCGGCAGCAGTGTCTCTAGGGAGCCGTAGCCATGAAGACGGGTCAGTTCAAAACATGCTGGTTGAGACAGGAGTGCCATCACACTATGCCTTGTTCCTGGCAAGAAGAACGTGCCTGGTGCTTAATAACAAAATGGAAAAATGATGACGTCTCAGCACTCCCGGTTGAGCTAGCATTGTTGAGTAAACTGGGGTTACTCCGGTGACTTCTGCTTTTCTAGTTTCTTCTTCCTGTCGTGAAGCTGTCATTGTAGTAGAAAGTTGTTAAGTGGTCACATGAGCACTCACTGGAATAGACTGTTCTTAATTCTACCAGACAACTAATTAGAACCAGAGTGATACAAGGAAATGTTGGGGGTAGTTAGGGAGACTGGCAGGGCTGGTGAATTCCTGGTCTAACCTTAGCCCAGATATGCCAGGATCTGTAGATTTCAAATGCGGCTGCCCTCTGATGGTAAAGAGCACTAAGAGAGGAAATGCTGTTTTGAAAAGCTAATCAGATGGAGTCTATTTGCTGAATTATTTATAAACTCTACCAGTGTCCCATTTCAATCAATACACAGGCTGGCTGAACACTGACTGTGTCCGAGGTACACATAACAGAGAGATGATTTTCCCCCAAACCTCACTCCATGCTCTCTGTGCACTGGCACGTACAGTCAAATACATGTAGTGGGGAACAAGATAAGAAAAGAGATATTTAAATTCTACAAGTCAACAGTGGTTCCCAAAAAGTCAGTGTAAGTATTTCTGAAAATATCCTACTATGCCATTCCGTAAATTAATATCTCCAGAACATCATGGATATTTTTTATTGTAAAAGCATAGCATTCTCTTCCTTATTCACAAGGTCCTATTAACAACATTCATCCTGCAGGTTTCGGTGCCCACGGTTCAGGAAGCCTAGTGATGTAAAGCTGGACAGCGACCTGGATGTGAAGAGCATGCAGGCCTCTTGCAGAGGACCTGAGTTTGGTCCCCAGCACTACCTATAACTCTAGCTCAGGGTTCTGGTGAAGCACGATTAATAATACTCAGGGTCAAAAGTTGGTGTTCAACCTGGAGATTCTAAAAGTAAAACAGCCAGCCACTGCCTCTTACCTCGACCTCAGTCTGGAATGGCGATCTTACCTCCTGGAATCTCAGAAGGAGACTGTGTCTGAGAGCTATCTTCCCCCATCTTATGTTCCTCTCTAGGGCTGGGATTAAAGACATGCACTGCCCAGTTTCTATGGCAACTAGTGTGGCTACTGGGTTTAAAGGTGTGTGTTACCATAATCTGGTCTGTAAGGTTAGCCAGTGGGACTGTTTTACTCTCAGATCTTCGAGCAGTCTTTATTTATTAAAATACAGTTGCAATTCTACTATAATCTAAGACCCTCTTCTGGTCTCCAAGAGCATCTGCAGTCACATGTACATACCTATAAATACATGTATGACTAAATATAAAATTGCAGAAATAAAAGAATACCTGGTCATATAAAATGTGAACTTAAACTATAAATTAAGGGATGCAATACATCTTTAGAAGAAAATCTTCATGAAAAGTGTCCATTTTTTCAAAACAAATGTCTTAGAGCATTTATTACAATGTTATTTCACTTTTTCACATTAGTTTCTTAAAAGCTTCAAGCAATATTTTCTGAGATAACTAAGACAGTCATGAAATACTTGTTTTATATGGTTTTGTATATCTGTGCAAACGATGTTCATTAAAAACTGAACCAGAACCGGGCGGTGGTGGCGCATGCCTTTAATCCCAGCACTCGGGAGGCAGAGGCAGGCGGATCTCTGTGAGTTTGATGCCAGCCTGGTCTGCAAGAGCTAGTTCCAGGACAGGAACCAAAAGCTAAGGAGAAACCCTGTCTTGAAAAATCAAAAAAAAAAAAAAAAAAAAAAAACGGAACCAGTAATTCTAGTGTTGTGATATATTCCTTCATATCTTCGCCCCTCTGCTAGTAAATCTAGTGTACTTCTTATCAGAATGTATTGTCATTATCTTTCGTCACATGTATGTCTGTGTGTGGTTGAGTGCAGGTGCCTGTGGAAGCCAGAGTCATCCAGTCCCCCAGAACTGGAATTGCAGGTGGTTGTCAGCCACCTGGGATGGTGCTGGGAACTGAACTTGGGGCCTCTGAAAGAACAGTATGCACTCTTAACCACTGAACCATCTCTCCAACTCCCAAATATAAATTTTAAACATAATTTTGCATAATATTGCCTCTTGATTCTATGCTATTTTGGAAACAGACTTTTCTGTAATGATGATTTTTATTAAAAAAAAATGCTTTGTAACTCCTTTGTGTGCAAGAGTAGCCTGTATCATTACTTCTCTGTGCAAGGTAGATGGAAAAGGTAATTCAGTTTTTTATAGTTGTGATATTCTATTATTGTTTCTTTGCTGTTAAAAATAGGCAGGAGCAAATTTATTCACATCACACAAATTGTAACTCGTCAAGGATAGAACTCACATCTTGTTTATCTTTATAAATATTTAAATATATAAATATTTATCCTTTTAAATATTAAAACACATTGTTAATTCCTGGTAGGCACTCAACAGATAGCCACTGACTGTATGAACAAGCCTTAATTTCTATCAAATACTCACTTTGGATCCAAACTTTGGATTCCTGTCTGAGTCTCAGTGAAGAAGTAACTCACGGAAAGAACAGTGTCTCTCTAACCAGAAGCTGAGGCCTTCCTTCCATTTTTGCTGTGTTAAATCCTTTCTTCTTTTTCCTGCAAATGTTTTGCTTTTTGAGATAGCATCTTATTCTGTATCCCATACCAGCCTGGAAACAGCTTTCTGCTTGCTCAAATCTCTAGTGCTGAGATTACAGGCATGTACCTCCTGCCCTGCATGGAAAATCCTCTTGAGTAATGGGAAGACGACAAAAGTTCTTCAGTTTCTTTAGGTTTGAAACATGTTCTGTAGGGCACATTGGTTGGTGTGTATACCCTACCCTGCCCCCCTTTCGTAGAGAAGCCTGGGGCTGCAGGCATTAGGAAATGCTGCGTGTCCTGCTGGAGTTGGGGAGGGCGGCAAAAAAGCCTCAGATTTGTAGAAACTTTGTGCTCGTGTGTGCTTTCCACCAACTCCAATGGGGACCATGTAGAACAGATTGATTGGCGGTTTCCTCATTGATCTGCAGTTGAACTCTTAGCATATAATACATTTTAATCAATACACTTCTTCCTCCCCTGTCCCTCACCACCAACTAGCCTCCTGACTTAATGTGCAAAAACCAAAAAAAAAAAAAAAGCTGACCAGTTAGTGTTGCCTGTACGTGCATGGACATAGGCCCCTCTCAGAGACCCTACCTCGGAGGAAAACTGGCATTCTTCCACAGCTCTTTCAAGGCTGTCAGTCCCATGCCCACTGCTGCTCATGTACTTTGTTTTCTCAACAGCATTGCTGGTCTGCATGTCTCAGCTGCATTATCCTGCGAACCCTGGCCTGGCCAGTGCACTCTGCCATCTCTTCTCTGCTGGGCTTACCTGACACTGACTCGAAAGGCTTCTCATATTCATCTCTTCTTCCACATAAAGCTACTGTGATCATGAAGGTATGCATCAGCATGGGATCCTGCTGGGCAAGAGCCGAGGAAGCGCAAAGCCTGCCATGACAGAACATCCCTGGCCCTCTCACCATGCTGCCATTGTACTGATTGTAGCGTTCCCACGTCGGGCTGTGGTTACGCTGCACAGCTGGCTCCTAGAAATGCCAAACAGGAAGCAGGGCAACTCTTGAAGCCTCTGGTTTGCAGATTTTGCCATTGTTTGTCTGGGTTCCCATCACTACAGGGGAGTTAGCACCATCAGGTTAGATGTCATTCCCCTTCCTCTTCCAGCAGAAGTTGTTTATTCTCGCTTTCTCTGGAACTCCCTTTGTCCTATCCTCTACCTTCACAGGGTATTCTCCCCACGTTCCAGAGGGAGAATGTGGTAAAAATGGGGGGTCCCCTCCTCCCCCACACAAGCAGAGTGTGTGGGTTTCAGGAGAAGAACAAGGAGTCATTAAATGGGGCGATCTTCTGCTTGTTCACATCAGTTGCCTTCTGTCTTTGTTTGCTTTCTTTTGTAATGATGTCACTTGCCATTTATTGAAGATTGAGCGTGCACACGCAGTTATGGCATGTGTGTACATGTAATCCTGTGGGTGACCCCGGGGGTGGACATTATTATCTCTGTTTTACAGAGAGATCAATGGAAGCGGTGCAGCACAGAACTGTTCGGGATCTCAGCCCAACCTGGTCCGTGTTGCTCCTGGTCGGACTCTGCATTTATTTGCAAAGCGCTGTTAAAATGTCACAAAAAGGAGACTGTGCTGTTTAAAATTGTTCAGTGTTGACTTAACATATGACAACCACGTATCAACTGTAAATATGTAAACTTCAACTGTGGTCCCTATGTAGTGAATTAGTAAATATAAGTGAAGGCAAAGGGCTTTGACTCCGCAGAAAAGTCACAGCCAGATCAATTTAGAACTGACTAATGTTTTCATGTTCTCTGAACATTAATTACCGAAATGTCCATGTTTATGTTTAGATTTGTATGAAACTGGGTTTACATCTAAGCCCTGACATTAACCAGCTGATGGCAAGAGATAAGTCTGTTCCCTGTAATTCATAGCAGCCCTGATAAGTACTTCTTACAGGCCTGCCCCAGTGCATGGAGAAGGCCTGTGTACAGGCAAAGGCTTGCCCGAGGCAGAGCTACAACTCCAGTCTGTGTGGCCACACGGGCCTCTGTCTTTCCGTTTTCCTTTCTCATTTTCGCCCTTCCCTCTGAAATGGTTTTAGTCGTTCCCCTCAAGCATGTGATTATCTCTTTATTTTTGGATGTTACAGCTTTCTAACATCTGTCTCTAGGGCAGCATAATCTTAGTGATGGAATATTCCATGTTTTCCTTGAGCCCTTGTCAATATGTCTTCGTGCTAACAGCTCAGCAGATGGGGAACAGAAGGAGTAGCCTCAGCTTACCTGGGTGATTTCTCTTCAGCTCAGCGACAGCCACATCCTCTCTAGCAACCTGATGTTAATCCTTGGAGCAGTTGGGAAATAAGAAAGGCTTCCAGATGCTTGCAGCGTGGCTGACTAAAACTGTTGGCTCTTTTCTTTCTTACCAGGAGACAGCAGAAACTTAGCAATGCCTACCTAGTGTGGGTCATGCCTGTTGAGATAGTGAGAGGAAACAGGATCTTAGCATCATTTAGGGCCTAAATTAGCAAGTTCCGAGCTTTCCCGTGCGCGCGCTGCCGTGAACAGAAGCAGCAGTTTCTGCCAGTCCCAGGGTGGGCACCTCTGGCGCTGCTTTCGTAGCAGCACCGTTCTCTACAGACAGAGCAGAGCATGGTTTGTTTCTGCATAGATCACTTGCTTTTTATTTAAGCTGGTCCTAGAGAGACCAACGCAAGGATGTAGACTAGTTCATCGTATGAGCAGTTTTGTTGGCTGCAGACAGTGACTCACACCCCTTCTTCATGTGTGGCTTCATACTGGCTGGACCCTGGTCTCAGCAAATTGTTCAAATGTGTTCCTCTCCAGGATGTAAAGTTCTGTTTAGTTGTGGCATCAACTTGTGAATGAAGCCTGTGAGTTGCGTGCTTAAAAATTTGTTTTTTTTTTTCCTTTGAGATAAGACCAATAAGCAAGAGATGATGATAAGAAATAAAATAATGGAATATAGGGGTGAGAGAGACATGCGGAGTAGTACTGGAAATTGAACCAAGGCTGGTAAGCTTTGAAAGGATCAAGAAATAAAGGAATTTATCTCATTAGTTCTATGGAATGCTGATATTGACTAGTATGGGTCATAGAACTCAACTTCTAGCCAGTCTGAGTTACTTCGAATTACTTGTTTGATTAGTTTGCGGTAGACTCTAAATAAATCAGAATTATTCTTAAATACTCACTCACACAAATGCTGTTTGTGATACTGTGTCAAGAGGTTGATGACCAATAATTTCAGTAGTAAGTTCCAAACATATCAAAATGCTTACAATAAAGATGTTTGTATATAGTTTACGAAGTAATTGATAATAACCAGCATTACGTCATGTATTGGATTGCTTTGATGAGCTGAGTCCTTGCCTTCCAGGGACTTGACCTGACTGGGTGGTGAGGGGATGAATAAAGACAAATGCAGGTGCACAGAGAAGCTGGGGTTGGGTGGCCTGGGCTCTCTGATGGAGAAACTGCAGCCCAGTGGATACTCAGTCCCTTTAGTATATAGAATGGAGATGTGGGGTTACTACATGCAGCTGAACAAGGGGACATGGGTTATAGTACACAGCTGGATAAAGAGCCAGGTTCAGCTAATACAACAGGAGCAGTCTGTTGTGGAATATTATTTTAAGATGTGTTACATTTGTTTATGCTGTGGAGATTTGTTTAAAGATGTGTTGCATTCTTAACTCTGGGAAGCTGTGTTACTTTGCCTGTCTAAAACACCTGATTGGTCCAATAAAAAGCTGAACAACCAGTAGCCAGGCAGGAGAAAGGATAGGCAGGGCTTGGCAGGCAGAGAGAATAAATAGGAGAAATCTGGCAAGAGAAGATTGGGGAGCAAGAGAAGGAGAAGGGGACTCCAGGGGCCAGCCACCCAGCTGTGCAGCAAGCCACAAAGTAAAGAAAGGTATATACAGTAAAATCACAGAGGCAAAAGGCAGACAGGATAATTTAAGAAAAGCTGGCTAAAAATAAGCCAAACTAAGGCCAGATATTCATAAGTAAGAATAAGTCTCCGTGAATTTATTTGGAAACTGGGTGTTGGGACCCCAAAGAGTAAAGAATGAAAAAGAAAAAGACTACAGCAGTCCCTGTAAAGGAGCAGTCATCAGACCATAAATGTATTGAGGGAGTATGGCTATGGTGGGCAGACCTTTTCTGCACACACTATCAACATCTGTGACCTGACCAGAGGACAGCTTTGCCATCTCTGTGTGTACGCTCATAGCCACACCCATATCAATACACAGTTATTCAGAGTATCCTCTGCTCTCCACATGGCTGCATTAGTTCTTCCATCTTAAAAAAAAATCTGTGAGAGTCCTTTAAGATTTCACATTAATTTTTTAAATATTATGTTTGGGTGGGCACATGCACCACAGAGCCATGTGGAGGTCCAGGGACAACTTGTGACAATTGCTTCTTCTACCATGTGGGTCCCAGGGACTGAAGGGACAAGTGCTTTTACTGTTTAAGCCGTATTGCTTGCCATAGAAATATCGTGATAGCTCTGAAGATTTAACTTCTAAATCTCATTTTATTGTGTCCATTGACAGACAATAGATTAACCCAGACACTAAAATTGTCTAAAATTTCATTCTAACATATTATAGGAATTTGAAAAGGACTGTTAAATTACCACCTCCCACATCAAGGAGAATTTCTAGCCAATGTATTTTGTGTTTCATTTCTGTAAGTGCTCAGAATCCCACAGGCCCCTCTCAGAAGGTGTCCTTTTCTTAGCTCTGGTTCAGCTCTGGAACATCAGAACCTGGTGTTGTAAACATTTTCCTACCAGACGCTTTGCACAGCACTGTCTCGAAGTCACTGATTAGTGCAAGGCACCATATCTGTGTAAAGGTAAGTTAAAAGGAGAACTTTCCATAAGAATTCCATTTACACATTTCAAAGGAGGCTGAGGAGTCAACTGATTGAATAAAGTTTCGTTCACCATAAACACGGGAAGGACTAAGGGATCTACTTTTTGCCCTTTCCTGTAAACTTAAAGTGGCTCTCAACTAAATTTATCAGATTTTGCATAGATGAGGATTTGAGGCACAGATACATTTGCACATTTACATGATGTGATTGGCCCGTGTTCTTTCTAGGAGCTTGTCGTCATTACTTTCTGCCCTACTCTATCCTTACTTCTCAAGCAAACAGTAACTCCAGGGTTGCCCTGCTTGTACGTGGCACAAGCCTGGAAAGAGAGTGCTTGAAAGTCACACTGAAACGTCCCCAATTTGTCTACAGAACAAAGAGAAATCAAATTCTGCACAGCCCTGTGAGGAGCCAGACATCTGGCTGGTCTGGAACTGCATGTGCCCGGCAACCCTTGTCTCCAGCTCCCTTTATCCATCACCATCTGGGTGTTCTGTGTTTGAACTTCCATTGACACAGAACCTGTCCAGATCCTGTGAAACAGAACAAGTGCATTGTCATGGTTCCTTATACTTTCGACAGGAATACTTCTTCGGGATTTCAAACAACACAGATCTTTCCTTGAGGTGCACTCGAAGGGCTGTTTAAACACTTCTGCCTTATGTGGGCGTGAGAATTGCATTTTGTCAAGTCCCCACAAAAATCCTGTCACTAATAAACCATACACGTACTACTTTTTCTGACTAAAATTAAGATTATAAATACCACCTGTGGAATGGGGCATTCCTCTCCACTGAACATTACAAGAATTTACCTAGAGAACACAGACTTTCACAAGTTGAGCAGTTTTCCTAAGAAATGATTTAATAACATGGGAAGTTAGTGGTTAAACCAGTCGACATCCAGTAGTTTAAATTTTAGTTTGACTTATTATTGCCTGAATAGCCTCTGACACACCAAATTTCCCATTCGCAAGTAGAGATAAAAACAAACCTTGCCTTCCATGTTTCATTGTGCTGAAGTAATCTAAGGAGATTTCATGTTATTTTTTTCAATAGACATGTATACATTCATGCTAATAGCTTTCCTATTGAAATTCTTATCCTTAAACCTGTACAAAACATGTATTGATTTGTTTTTTTTTTCCTCTAGTGACGGGGGCTAGAGGAGAAAAATCGGTGTTTCGTAGAACTTATCACTCAAACAGTTGTGTGTGAATAAGGGCGGGCTATGAAGAAAGAAGTGAAATCCTGTAATTGGAACAAATCAGCTCATCTTTTCAAAAGAGAAAATGCCTTGATAAGAGTTGTTCCTCTCTTGGTATCGGTAACACTCATAAAATAAATTGATATAATAAATATAATAAATAATGAGCCTCTGCTTATTCTCCCCATTCACATGTTTTGAGTGTGAAGGGAACAGCAAGAATACATGATAGCACATGTAGCCCAGCACATGAGAGGTGGAGATGGAAGGGTCAGGACGTACTTGAAGGTTATTGCCTACAGAAAAAATTTAAGAGATGTTTGATACCCTGTTTCAGAACAACAACAACAACAAATCAGCACCACTGAAGTCTCTCAGGGTCATTTGGGAAGGCGTACTAATGAACTTTTTATAGAATTGAGTTCCCCCAAATCACCTGTACCTGTGCATACCCTTTGAAAGCAACAGTCTATGCTATAGCTTTCAGGGTTTCAGTCATTTCTTTAATTTTATTCTTTCTTCTGTTGAGGTGGTAGGAAGTAGGTTGTTTTATGAACACTAAATGTCTAGGGCTGATGCGTTCAGCTTTTGTACCCAGGTTTACCCTCTGACTATTCCTGCATTCAGGTAAAGAGTGATAGTGTTAATAGTGCTTACATTCAAGTCACTCTGGGTTGCACTTGCAGTTATATCCTGGGGCACCTACTTTGGGAAAGGCAAAGAAGTATATATACTCCACTTTATAAATCTAAGCTGACTATCAAAAATTGCCTCTGGGGCTTACCAAACAAAATGCTTACCATGCAATCCTGACAACTTTGACCCCAGAAACTCAAGGAACAGAACTGCCTCCTGAAAGTCGTCCTCTGACCTTGCCTTTGGGTTTCTGTTACTGTGAAGAGATACCATGATTATGACAACTCTTATAAAGGAAAACATTTACTTGGATGGCTTACAGTTCAGAGGTTCACTCCCTGATTGTCATGGTGGGACATGGCAAGATGCAGGCAGATATGATGCAGGAGAAGGAGCTGAGAGTTCTATATTTTGATGCACAGGCAACAGGAAGTGAACTGTCACACTTGGCATAGCTTGAACATAGGAGACCTCAAAGCCAATCCCCAAAGTGACACACTTCCTTCAACAAGGCCACACCTACTTCAATCTAACAGTGCCACCCCCTATGGGCCTATGGGGCCATTTCCTTTCAAGCCACCACAGACCTCTACACATCCTTGGTGGTACATGTGTGCCCGCACTCACATATACACAATAAAAAGAAATAAAATGCAATGTTTTAAAATAAAATGTAGAGGCTAACAAGATGACTTAGTGGGTAAAGTACTTGCTTCAAAAGCCTGGCAACCTAGGTTTGATCCTGGAAGCCTGCTTTGAGAAAAGATAGTCCCTTACATGTGCATGGAGGGAATTTTCAGATGACCAAACGCCAAAGATGGGTTATGAAACATGTGTTGTGTTTCCTAATTCTCATCTAATCAAAGCATAGATTTTTTTTTTTTGAGACAGGGTCTCATGTATTCTAACCTGAACTTGAACTTCTAAATCTTTGTCTCCACCTCACAAGTGCTAGGATTACTAGTACGTACCACCACACCCAGCTAGATCTTTTAAAATATTAATTGGATGGCATTTTATGTGTACAATGAAAGGAATTAACTTTAAAAATAATTGAGAATTCTTAATAAAGGAAAAAGGCTGCATTCATGGTTTGCATTTTGATAAGCTAGAATAGCAAGGATGATCACTGTGTCTCCTGAAGTTCCTATCTTGAAAGAAGGAAGTGCTTAATACTAGCTTACTTCAATATGTAAAGCTTTAAAAATCATCCAGTAATTTAGATTTATTCCCTAAGAAGTCACAGCCCTGTAAATTATAAACCTTGTCCCCCCCAGCATGATATGCGCTGTCTCCTCTAAGGTAGGACTGAACAAAAACCAAGGGCACACATGAATTCTTCCTTCAGCTGTGATACCCACCTTTCTGTTTCTCTGCACTACATGTGAATTCTTCCTTCAGCTATGATACCCACCTTTCTGTTTCTCTGCACTACATGTGAATTCTTCCTTCAGCTATGATACCCACCTTTTTGTTTCTCTGTACTACATATGAATTCTTCCTTCAGCTATGATACCCACCTTTCTGTTTCTCTGTACTACATGTGAATCCTTCCTTCAGCTGTGATACCTGCCATTCTGTTTCTCTGCACTAGCTTCCGTAGTTCGCCCCTGGCTGAAACTAGATGCCCTTCAAATTAGTCCACATCCCGTATTGTTGTCTTCCTCTCCCTTCTCCCCTTCCTGCACACAATTATGTCCACTAATCTATAAACTAAATCTACATCATAACAGATAAGAGTTTTTTTCAAAACTTCATGCCGAATTTTTAGTAACTGTTGGGCTTTCTCCTAAAAAGAATATTTTGGGGTACCTATAAAATATACTTAACTCACTCAAGTCTTAGTTAGGATAAGCCTACTTCATTGGCATCATTATTAGCCCTCCTATTGGAATATTTAAACCAATATTTGGAATGCCAAGAGATGGTCTTACCTGCTTGAGCCAGATTTCTAAAGAAAAGACGTCTCCTATCTGCAAGCCAATGAAGAAGCAGGGTACCAGACAACCAATGCCATTTGAAGTCCTGAAACTTCCTCATGGTTTCCTTCCTCTCCCACATCTTTCCCAATTTTAGGCTTTTAATTTCCACATTCATTAAATAGTAATAAATCTGATGGTTAAGTAAGAAAACAGGTATTCAAAAGTGTTAGCTTAGCCAAGCCCTGTGTTGTAAATGCTTTAATAAAGCTCATCATTAACCATACAGTATTGTATATGTGGGAGTCAGTGAAAGCTGAAAATGATTCTGGGACCATGCCTGTCTCTCCCTCCCCACTTTCTTTTTAATTGTGTTTCCATAGGTACCCAGGCAAAAGCAGGTACAGAGGTAACACACAAGAGAATAAAGGAGCCAACAAAAACTATTCCAAATCCTCCTTATCAATAATGATAAAACAAGAATTCTTTGCAGCCAGTCATCAGTATGTTAAAGACAGCACTGCCCTGACGCTTTCTGCAGTAAGAAAGTACTTCTATTTCTACGCAAATTTCTGAAGCCAAAAGTCAAATATTTTCCTACAAATTCTTAACAAAAAAAAAAAAGGTAAAATAAGAGACACATGCAAGTGAAGAACACATCAAAGCTCTAAGGTATGTTTCTCTAAATACTAAAATAAGAAAACATGGTGATTACCCGTGACATGTTGAACAATGCACCTTCAGAGCTCATCCTGGAATTGCATCAAAAATGTTAAGTGGCGTGGCTTGAAAATACCTCAGCATAACATGGTTTGAATGGGTGTTTCCTGATGCCTATGTGAGAAAACTATAGCTGAAGTGCTGCTTCATCCTACAGAAAGTCTGCATTATCTATGGTTAAGAAATGAGCAAGTGACAATCTCCAAGAATTCATTTTGACCAGCATTAATGACTAGCTTGATAGTTAACAGCCCCCAGGCAAAGCTAGAGGCCATTAAGGCTCTAGGAAAAAGGGGAAGTTGGAGGGTTGGAGTTTACCAGTAATTAACTATAGGTATGAATTAAAACTTATTAGGGAAGATATGAAAGTAACTCTGAATGGCTCTGTGTCTGTTTGTCTTTTCACATACCATCAGCACCACATCCTCCAAATCTTTTTTAATAAATAGGAAAAAAGATATTGGCATCATTTCATATACCAAGTTAGAATGGAAATAATTCATGTGATGGAACAGGGTTGCTCTGGGGACCAATTAATTCCTTTTCAAGCTTGAACTATATAGCTATAAGAATCACTATAAAATACTCATTCTACCACATTAGTTGATTGTTGCTGAATTGAAACTCAGTCATGAGATCATAAGGATTTTGGAAGCTTTTTTTTTAAGTTTTTAATCCTATCTCAATAAAAGTAAATACATAAGGATTATAAATAAACCAAATCTGAAGTAATATAGATAGAGAGACCCTCAAGAGGGTCAGGAGATAATGAAGATTATACCTCAATATTGGGATTATGATGTTAGTTCTTTATTTCAATAAAAGTGGATAGAGATCTTTCATATCAGGGACAGGGCTTAGCTGTAAGGACAAAGTAATCTTCCGGGAATTATGCATACAGGCATTATTGGATGGCTGATGAACTGGAAAACTCCAGGATAGTCAGGCTTTAATTTGTAATCTTAATTTTCATATAAATCGGTACATTTCGGGGGGGGAGGGAGCGGGGGATGCTGGATGTTGCTGCTTGCTAGCCTGTGGTACTAAGACAGCCCTGAAGCGTAGGCTGCAGCACTAATTCATCCTGGGTCAGATTTTGACTCCTCCTCTATCCATCTGTCTTCCATCTTTGTATCTATCATTTAACAAAATTTACAGCTTACAAATAGCAGTGAAGCTAATGTCGGTGCAATCTTTTCTCTACCTCCTCTGAGAATGATCTATAATAATCTACTTATCATAGACAGGCACACTATAATGCACAATCATTTAGTCTTCAGCTAGGAGACTGACTGCAGTTTTTCCACAAGCATACATTATGAGGTTGCCCCTTCCTTTTTGTAAAAAATTGTTTTAACAACTGTAGGACATGAGAGAGCAGTAGTTTCCCTTCACAAAATAATTATCTTAATGATTCCCATAGATAATTTCATGACCATGGGGTTCCATGGGGACAACATTATTAAACCAGAATATTGGTGGCTATTTGTTTGGACATACAGAAACTTGACCAGGACATTTGCAATTAAAGGGTAGATACCTTTCACTATTTAAAAGTGCTATCATGTTGAATATGTTATAAATATATATTCTAAGTTATATTGATTCACATTGCCAGTAAAATTGAAATTATTTACAAAATTATCTTTTTTCTCTCTTGACTAAGCCATAGAGAACAATGTACTTCTTTCCATTTTACCATTGCTTCGTGTGTGTCCCAGGTCTATCAGCAATAAACTTCCCACTCGCCTTTTCTCCTTTCTTCCTGGATTTTGAGCATTTGCTTCCAAGACAGAGGAGGAGAGAAAGACTGGTCAATAAGTGAATAAAGAGGAAGCTTTATA